CAGAAGTACAGTTCCCTCACCTTTGGGAATCAGTAATGTCTCAGACTTGGTCAGGACCTTGGCTGCTATGCTGTCAGATTAAGAAGGGATGAGATTCTGGAGGTGAAGTTTTGAGGGTAAAAGAGAGTAAAGAGCAGTAGGATCTGAGTCTCTTCCCGATGTCTGTACCTCTTTTTCTTGGAGCGCTTTTGGTCATCTGGGGTGGGGTTGGGGGGACAGTAGGCAGCTTACTTTACTGCCACAACCTTCTGCATCTGGCCAGGGGCTTCCTTCTTCCAAGGACTGTTGGGAAAGAGGAAGGGGAGAGCAGCCAACCTTCAAGAAATTTTCTGGTCGTGAACACTGAAGCTGACTGAAAAGGTTCTCCTCTTCCACCAATCTCTCTCCCCTTTATACCTCAGACATAGTGTGCAAATGGCATCATTTTGTTCAGGAGCATGTAATGATGGCCTTAGAACAATGATTTACTTTTTATCTGGCTGGGAAAGGAAAGATCTGTAGGAGATGAGGAGAATAAGGCCCCCAGATGAGGAGATGGCAAGGAAAATAGAGACTGTATCAAGGGAAGCAGAGTCAGTCTTGCCTTCCACAGGTTACAGAAGCAGATCTGGAGTTGGTATGGCTGGCTGTGGGTCACAGTCATTGTGTCGGGAGGTGGGGGTGAAAAGGGAACAGAGAACGGTTTTTCAGTGGATCATGGGTGACATTCTGCATGGTCATCCATAATGTGAGACTTGAGATTCAACCAATATTTACTGAGTATCATGTAACAAGAAATGTTCTAGGTGCTGAGGGTGGGGATAGGGCATGCAGTGTTGAACAAAACAAAGACCGTTGCTCTTACAGAGCTTATTTTGTGTGTGTGGGGGAAATTGAGTCATTAAACAAGATACAAATAAATGAAAAAACATCTTTTAGATAGAATGAATGTTACAACAACAGTACAGCATGGGGGTGTGCTAGAGAGGGGATGAGGGGAAGCTACTTTAGAGCAATCAGAGAGGTTCTCTGAGGAGGTGATATTTGACCTGAGATGTGAATGGTGAGAAGGAGCCAGCCAAGTGAAGAGCAGAAGGAAGAGTATTGTATGCAGAGGAAACAGCAACTGCAAAGGCTGCGGAGGCATGAATGAATTTGGGGTGTTTGGAGAACTAAATGAAAACCGGTGCAAAAGAGGGAGAGAAGAAGAGATAAGTCAGTGAGGTAGGTGGGAGATAGCTTAGGTGAAGACTTCAAGTCAGAAAAGAGTTCGAACTGTTTTTTACAATTTAGTTTTTAAATTTTATTTTATTAGTTTCAAGTATATAGTACATTAGTTAGACATTTATATAGTTTATAGACTGATCCCCCTAATTGCTCTTTCTCTCCTCTGGCTCTCCACCTAGCCTATACATTCATGCTAACTGCATTCCCTATGCCATGCTCCCCATCTCTGTGACCATCTATCGACTACTAATTTATACTACTTTAACCCTTGAGCTACGTTTTAATTGTAAGGGGATGCCATTGGAGATTTTAAATTAGAGACTAATTCAGTCTTCACTCAGTGGGCAATGGGCTTTCCTGATGCATGTTCGTGCGCGCGCGCGCGCGCGCGTGCGCACGCACACACACACACATTTTTCACTCTCAGTTGGTTTTTCTTCTCCCTGTTAGTTGGCTATCACTGATTTCCCCTTCCTTGCCCTACGCCAGTGCCTGGGCAGATCCACACAGAGAAGAAGGGCTCAAAAGACTCTGCACAGTGTTTCTCCTTATTCTCTGAAATAAATTCATATTCTTATTTAGTTTCACATTCATGCATAAAACTCTCCAACACTAGCTCTGATTTCTCAACGTCTCTCCAGACTGAATATCTAGTTGTCTCTAAAAAGTCATTGGCTTAGCTGGTGACATCTGAAACTAGATACTAAAAATTAATTGTTTAGTCAAAAAAAAATTACAATTGATATCTTTTGGAAGACAATGATCGTTGCAAGAGATGATCATCTAAATACTTTGCCTTTTCCTGAACTCTTGCTCCCTCTCTCCCAGAGCCTCTATGAAGTCTGTTATGGAAGGTTTATTCTCTTTTAGAGTACAGTTGCAGTGGAAATGGACTCGTAATATTTCTCATGGGAGTATACTATGCCTGAAAAGTTTCATTTCTATTGGTTTTTGAAGATGATCTTGGCAGTATTAGAGTAGCTCCTAAATTATGAAAGTTTATGTCCAAGTTGATATCTTCATAGGTAGCTTCCATTTATCAGAAATGAACAGAAGGTCCCAGCATGTTATCTTTAGATTCCAGGGCAGCTCAGCACCAGCATATTCTCTGGGGAAGCTTGGTACACTCCTTAGAGAGCAAATTGTTTTTGTGATTCTTTAGCCAGATGCTCATTTATTAACTTACATACTTAATATCACTAACATACAAAACAACTCACTTTCAGCTTTTGTATCTTTTTGATTGATCTAGAGGCATAAAATCTGGAACACATTTCTATTTAAGAGGGCAGCAATGATGTTTTCTCTTCTTCACCCCTGTACCTCTTGTATCTGGTGCAATGTCCAGAACATTATAGATCAAGAAAACATTGGCCAAATGACTCATTCATGTCCATGGATTGACTCACAATCTTAATATATTAGCTCATTTATAACATCTTTATAACTGTTATGATCATCTTTGTAACTATTAGGATTATCAATTCGTCATCTCAAAAACTTTACCCATTGGAGAAAACATGTAATCCTTCTGGTTTTGAAAAGTTTCTTTCTTTTTGAAAATATTATAGTGTACTTATGCTGATAAGTAAGGGACTAGAATGTAAATGTCATCAGATGAATACTCTGAAGTTTGCTTTCATATAAAGTAAACTTTTAGCACTTTCATAATTCATAATTTATCAAAATTTGAGTTGGGTTAGTCAGGCTTCATTTACATTACTGAGGAAATACATGTGCCAAGAACGTGAATAACAAAATCATCTCTCTCTTTAATAGTACCACAGACATCTTTACATCCATAATTTTATGCACTTGAGTAGGCAGAGATTTGCTTTGCTGAAGTTCCAATGCTTATTATGGTATTTCTTAGGTTCTAATAGGTATCATTTAACCTAGTTTGAGACATAAACAAATGTCTTGGGGGTAAAAAGCCCTCCTTATCAAGATTGCTAGAGCTTCATAAAACTCAACAATAACAACAACAACAACAACAACAAATAATAATAATAATAATCCAATTTAAAAATGGGGAATTTAGACCTGGACAGATAATTTCCCCCAGAGGAAATACAGATGACCAACAGACATGTGAAAAGATGCTCAAGGTCATTAATCTTAGAGAAATGCAAATTAAGACCACAATGAGAGATATCACTTCACACCTGTCAGAATGGCTATCAATAGATCAAAGAACGAGTGTTGGCGAGGGCGTGGAGAAAAAGGAACTCATACACTGTTGGTGGGATGGCAAATTGGTACAGCCACTCTGGAAAAGTCTGAAGGTTTCCCAAAAACTTAAAAATGAATCTACCTTTTGACATAGTAATTGCGCTTCTGGGTATTTAGCCAAAGAAAACCAAAACAATAATTCATAAAGATCTATGCACCCCTATGTTCATGGCAGCACAATTTACAATAGTCAAAATACGGACACAACCTAAATGCCCATCAACAGATGATAGAATAAAGAAGTTATGATATATACAATGGAAAAAGTGAAATCATTTGCAACAACATAGATGGACCTAGAGGTTATTACGCTGAGTGAAATAAATCAGACAGAGAAAGAAAAATACCATATAACTTCACTTATATGAGGAATCTAAAGAACAAAACAAACTAATCAAAAACAAATATAGAGGACAGTCTGGTGACAGACAGAGGGAAGGGAAGTTAAGGGGCTGAGAGAATGGGTTAAAGAAGTACAAATTAGTGGTTGATAGATGGTCACAGGGATGAGGAATACTGCGTAGGGAATGCAGTTAGTAGTAATGTAATGGTTAGGAGGAGAGCCAGAGGAGATAAAGAGCAATTAGGGGGATTGTTTTATAAACTATATAAATGTCTAACCAATGTATTGTATACTTGAAACTAAAAAAAAAAAATAAAAAAATCAACAAGTTTGTCTTAAGAAAAGATTGCCAGAGCCGGGATGAAGGGGGAAGTGCCTGGCAGAGGGAACTGAGAGGCAGTCATGCAAGAGAGGGGCCCAGCTGTCAGCTCTTGGTGAGACTCTTAGTGACAAAGTTTCTCACAAAGGATGATGTCTTCAGAGGGCATCTTCTTGGTTAATAGATATATTCTGTATTCATATTTTAAAAATTATAAATATTTAAAGGTTCTGCCTTTTAGATTTGTCTTTTCCCACCTTACAAGGACATGAAGAGTTCCTCCCCTGCCCCCCACCTGATTTTAGTCCTCAGGTTGGTTATTTGCTCACTGTTTCTGACAGCCTGGAGGAGTTTTCCTCTTAGGAACTATTCTATTGGAAATATTTAGGCCAGCACCATAAAGGTGCTGCTTCTGCTAAAATAATAAAATAACATAATAAAATAAAGTATAAAATAAAAATGCTAATATAAAAATATAATGGTATAAATAAAATAAAATAATAAAATGCTTTTATCCAAATCTATGTGACCCTTTAGTATGCTTGAGTCCTTCATGCATTAAAGGATGGAGGAGGCAGAAATAAGGGAGTATGTACATTTTCTATGTTCAGGATAGAACCAAAGAATAAAAAGAGATTGGAGATTTCCTTTTATATTCCCTGACTTCTTTTTATGGGTAATATACAGTTAATATAAAATGTAGATAATATAACATAACATTTAATAATTAATAGAGACAATATAGAGTTATAAAACTGAACCTAAAGATTGGAAAATGGGTTATACAGTTACATTTAGATGACAGGAATGAAATAATAATCCTGGCATTCAACTAGGGTGTGAGTGCATTTTTAACTGCTTTTCAGCA